AAATAAAAACATCTCTGCCTCTTTTCGCCGAAGCTGTCAGGGTACACGACTGTCGCGAAAAGGTAATAAGAGCAAGAACAATAACAAAACAATAACAACGATAACGACGCAGTAATGTCGTTCCCCCCCCCCCTCCTTCCCCCCAAAAAAAAGAGAAAACATATTGATATAAAAAGAAAGAATGAAATAACGAACAATGAAAAAATACATAATATTACATATAAATAACAACAATAACGACACAGTAATGTCGACGAAATGAAAAGAAAAGAAGAGAGAAAGAGAGAAAAAACACAAAAAAAAAACACAGAAAAAAATGATGACAAAAACAAGGAAAGGATGAAAGAAAAATATGATAAAAAATGAATAATAATAATAATAATAGTCTCTTCGTTTACAGAGCGACGTGGAGAATGCGCCCCTTTAGTCACGCTCGTCACGAAAAGGTAATAATAATAGACATAATTACAGCACTAACCAGACGCTAATGACAGTGAAAAGATATAAACAAATAGGGTAAAATTAAAGAAAAACGATCATAAAAATTAACGGAAAATGTTGTCTCTCCCGACGATGCGGCAGTTAAGCGAAATCGTAAGAAAATAATGAGATTGGAAAAAATAGAAATAATGATGATGAAAAACGTGAAAAAATGCTATTGATAGCGAAGTAATACAAAAAAAGAAACTAAAATAGAAAACTAAAAAAGAAATAATGATAACAAAAAATAAAAAAAGACAACAAAAAAGAATAAAATGAAACAATGAAACTGCAGAAAAAGAAATGATGATAATAATATATAACAATAAAGAGAGACATGTTCTTCCGGCGGCGCAGAACAGCATCCGAGGACAATTAGGGGAAGATAATAATAGCAAAATATAATAGCATCGATACCTAGACACTAATGACAAAATAATGACAATGGGGATAACACAAAGAGATTAAAAGATATAAAAAGGAAGATTTGATGAAAAAGAAAAATCACCGTCATGGCCGATGAAGCAGGTAAAACATGGCCGTCCCGGTTAGATAATTATAATAATAATAATAACTTTAATAGTAGTAGTAGTAATAATGATATTAGTAATAATAATGATAATAATAATAATAATAATAATAATAATAATAATAATAATAATAATAATAATAATAACAACAATAATAATAATAATAATAATAATAATAATAATAATAATAATAAAGCAATAATAATAATAATAACAATAATAACATTAATAGTAATAACAATAATAATAATAACAACAATAATGATACGATAATAATAATAATAATAATAATAATAATGATAATAATAATAATAATAATAATAATAATAATGATAATAATAATGATAATGATAATAATGATTATAATGATAATGATAATGATAGATATAATGATGATGATGATGATGGTGATGATGAAGATGATGATAATAATGATAATGATAATGATATTGATAATTATAATTATAATTATAATTATAATTATAATTATAATTATAATAACAATAATAACAATAACAATAATAATAGTAATAATTATAATAATGGTAATAATAATAATAATAATGATAGTAATAATAATAATAATAATGATAGTAATAATAATAATAATAATAATAATAATAATAATAATAATAATAATGATAGTAATAATAATAATAATAATAATAATAGTAATAATACAAGTAATAATGACAATCACCAAAACGACCTGAGAGACGAATCCTTTGAAGATGCGTCAGTTGCAACACGGCCGTGGCAATATTGATAAAAACAATCACACCGATAATGAAGCGGTTGATTGGATTAATTAATTTCAAACCTACTAGAATAATAATGATGAGGAAAAAAAAGCCAATTGAGAGATTAATCCTATTTTCCCGATGACGTAGAAGGTGCGTCAATCTAGACACGGTCGTCACAGCAAGATAAAAAAAAAAAAAAAAAAAAAAAAAGTTATACCGAAAAAAACATGATCAATTTAATTAGTTAATTTCAAAACCTAAAAAAGACATATTGATAATGATAAGAAGGGACGTACACGACGATGTACATAATACGCCAGTTGAGAGACGTCCGTTACGGAAAGGTAATATAGAAAATAACAATAATACCGATAACGAATTCTTTTATTTAGGTAATTATAAAACCTTCTAAAATAAGAAAACAAAAGAATCCTACCGTTTTGTACAAAGCGCGACAGTTGAAGCAGGTGACATAATATAAAAAAAAAAAACGATACCGATAAAATAATTAATTTAATGCGTCATAAAAACCTGCTGTGATAATAATGATGATAGTATTAACAAGAACAGAAAAAGAAAAAAAATACGAATTATAAGATGAATCTTACAGTTTTTTCCGATGGTCGTTATAATACTGATAAAAAAAAAAAAAAAAAAAAAAAAAAACGAAAATCAGTTAATCTTAAAGCCTGACTAAAGGGATAAACCAAGGAGCCTTAAAAAAATGAATCAGGAGACAAATCCTAC